ATATATATATGGCTGTTAACTTCCGCCGGTGAATGTTGCCAATCACATAGTCGCTTTGGTAAATGTTCGAAATAGTATATACTAGGTCTAGTTAAGAGTCACTGCTCGGTATACTTTTGCCCGGAATACTCTACACTGATGTTTTTTTAAGGTTCAGTGCTATTGCCCGGTACTCCGAGTACTGATGCTTCTCTTAATCTATCCTCAGCAGATATTAAAATATCGAATAAAATAATAATGTCAACGAATAAATTAATATCAAATCTCATATAACAAACCTTTCGGACATTATGTGATTGTTGTTGTTGACATTCACCAGTGAAAGTCGACATTCTCTTGATTTCTATTATTCACGATAACATATGCATAGATTAGTTATGTTTAAAATGATGCTTATTAAGCTTTTTTAAGCGGTAAATATTGTGCCCACACTACGTCTGTCTATCCTCTACTCATCAATTTATGAATGATATTTATATTAAAAAGTAGCTTTATCTTTGAAATTTTGCTATTTAAATTTGCCTGGTAACAATTTATTAAACTTGAAACTGTCGATTATAAAATCCCACCTAAAAAATTATTCTTTTTGCGCTACTAGGAAACAACGATGTTCTTGCAAAGGAAGCAGAAGTCGTTGAAATGGATTAAAATTATGCCACGATTAATAATGTATTCTGAGGTTCTAAGAAATTTTCGTGACAGTCTGATTTAAGCTCTCAATAATACTGACTAAGATCTATATCACGAATTCATATCATTATGAATCTGGTGGAGGAAAATTGGTGTTCAATAAAACAGCTGGGTTTTAATTTTAGTTGTAAGATATAAAATAGTTAGTAAGTTATTTATACCTTTATGTCTTCCCGTTTATAATTTTTTATAACCGTCGTTGAACATCCAGCCCAATTTTTTACGACTGCTATTGTTCAACTCCGTAGCCTTGTAATTTTGAACTAATCCAGAAGACGAAATTCCTGGAGCAGTTCCCCAAGAGGTATTGATTTGTTTTGGGAACATGGAGGATTTTGCGACTCGACAGATTTAACGTGCATCAGTCACCATTTACAACACGGGGATCTTCGGCCGGCGGGGATAGAACCCATAAATAATAACCTGTTTATAATAAAAAAATTTTCTTCCACATGATATTGTTGGTGATTTATTCAATTTTTATCTTTGAGCAATCAATTTATTGATATTTCCAAATAGCGCCAATCTCTAAACATCTGTCTCATTGACACTGTCCAACGCATGTATCTGTTGTTCTATCAGACCCAATTCTGCGTCTATCAATGTTCAACTACGTAGCCTTGTAATTTTAAGCTAAACCCACAAGACAAGGGAACTCATGGATCAAGCATTGGGACAAACTAGGCTTCGAGGAGGACATTTTGATGGAGGTTTTTTTAATGGAAGTATTGAGATAAAGACCACGTTTTTGTGGTTGGTCATTAATGAGTTAACGAAAAAATAAATAATTAATTAAAAATAATTGTAGGAAAATGAACTACGTTTTTCTGTAAAAATTTTTTTTTTAATAAATAGTTCATATAAAGAGTGGCTGGCTAAATAAGTTAACACAAAAAAAAAATTAATTGCATTCTTCTGTAATGTAATTTTCAATGCATATAATTTTCAATGAACAGCTCACATAAAGACCCATTTTTATTGCTGGCCATTGGTGAGCAAACAAAACATAAATAAATAAATAAGTAAGTAAGTACATTTGTAATAAATGAACTACGTTCTTCTGAAAGGAATGCAATTTTTTTAATAAACAGCTGATATTAAGACCACTTTTTATTGCTGGCCATTGACGAGCTAACAAAAAATGAATAAATAAATATGTAAGTAAGTACATTTGTAATAAAGGAACTACGTTCTTCTGAAAGGAATGCAATTTTTTAATAAACAGCTGGTATTAAGACTACTTTTCATGACTGGCCATTGACGAGCTAACAAAAAATAAATAAATAAATATGTAAGTAAGTAAATTTGTAATAAAGGAACTACGTTCTTCTTAAAAGAATGCAATTTTTTAATAAACAGCTCATTTAAAGATCACTTTTTATGGCTGGCAACTATAGGTAACAATAAATATAAGGTAACAATAAATGGGTAATAATATGAGTAACAATAAATAAATAAATTTGCAATAAAATGAAATACTTCTTCTTTAAAGAATGTAATTTTTTAATAAACAGTTGAAGTAAAGACTACTTTTTATGGCTGGATATTAATGGGTTAGCAAAAAAAAAAAAAAAAAAAAAAAAAAAAAAAAAAAAAAAAAAAAAAAAAAAAANAAAAAAAAAAAAGAGAAAATATCAGTCAAACCCCGCTATAGTAAACATGGTTTATAATGTACTCCCAAACATAGTGAACGAAATGTTCGCTTTACCATACACATACACATTACCACACACATATGATATTATTTTTGTGGATATGGTGAACCAAAAGAAGAGAGGATATTGGATATTATGGGCTTTTTTTGTTGTCTTCAACTGTTTTTTTCCTTCATTTTTTGGCAATTTTGAAATTCGTACACAAAATACACATACCGATTTTTTAGAACCATCTATTGAGTGGAATGTAGGCCTTTTTTCTTGTTTGCGTCTTCCATCTCAGTTTCCCATCCCAAAATAAAGGCCATCCCTAAATTGTTTGTAAGCAAGCCGAAGAGTAATAAAAAATAAAAGTTAACACATTTTTTGTTGCTACATATTCATTTTTAATAATTTTTGTGTTTCTTTTTATGGGTCATTTATTTAAATAATGTTTATTAAAAAGGAGCTGTTCGGAAAAATGAGTTAAAATTGTTTGAAGTACGGATATAGTGAACCGAAATTTCAGTCCCTTGAAGGTTCACAAAAACGGGGTTTGACTGTAATTAAAATAAATAAATAAATAAATAAATTGGCAACAAAATGAATTTCGTTCTTCTGCAAAGAATATAACATTTTAATAAATGATTAATAAAAAAACCACTTTTTTTGTGGCCGGTTATTATTGGGTTAACAAATAAACTATGCAATAAAATGAAATATGCTCTTCTGTAAACACTGCGATGTTTCGAAAAACGCTTTTAAACTGAAACATTCATAGATGGAAAAAAAAAAAGTCTGAATTGTCATTAGAAGTTAGTATTGGAACACCTGCTACGTAATAAATGATTTTGTATTTTTACTGTTGAATCCACCAGAGGTGTTTCAGCGCTATCTAAAATTGAACTATCATTTGCTTCCTGTCAAAGTATCATCTATTTCGTTTCACCACTATGTCAGCTCGTTATTTGGTGAAATTGGGTCGATGCTCTTACTGTTATGCCAAGGGCAGGCAACTTCACGAAGCATCTCCTCATATGAAAAATACTCTCACATTCACAGAACAGCACGATGAGTTGCGACAAACAGTGAAAAAAGTAAGTTGCCTTTGTGAAATTTTTTAATTAAAACCACTTAATTATTTTGAAAAAAAAACCCCACAAAATATCAATATATTTTTTTAATTTTATTAACGCCAAACATACCATAATCAGTCAAATAACCGTTTAAGAACTTTTGCATCGACAATGCTCTTATCATCTTATCGTTTTTGTACATTGAACTCAATGACTTTTTCAACAATTATATGCAGTTAATATTCTATTATTATTATTTTTTTTTTTGCGTTTTGTTTGTTTCGAATAATACTTGTCGTAAATTTCTACCACAACCTGTCATTTGACCGGGAGAACAATTTATTGCTTTATAAGGTAATCTGATCAGAAATGACGATGCCATGCGTGTCCAACGTATTGCATCCGATGAGTTGCACATTTCTACAAAGACTGTTGCGTAGTCAGTTCAATCAGAATAACTGTGAATTCAAATTTCAAGAAAATACCTAACATTTTAGATAGGCATTTTTGTGTAAGAAAAGGTGACAATTATAATTCTTATATATTCTTATAATTATAAGAATAATTATAAGAATTACGGAAATAATAATAAGTGGAAGAAATATGTTTGCGGAAAATGTACATTGGAAGTACCCTGTATATATAAAAAATGCGTTGACCAATGAATTAAAAATTCTTATTCTTTATGTTTGTAATACATAAAAATTATATACATTTTTGTTTGATTATAATAAAGTTCTTTTTAGTGTATTTCCTTCCTCACTTCCATATTTCATACATTCAATCAAAAGTTCGGTTATTTGACCGGCAATGGTAGAAATAGGTATAGATTAAGTGTTGGTATATTTAGTGTTAAGTTATACATGTTTTCAAACTTCTGTTTTTGACAAAGTAATCTGTTCTAACCAATTTCCTTAGATTATGAAAGAGTTAAGTTCAGTAAGAAAGCATGTTAAAAACATTTTCAAAACAAGTATTTTCCCGGCATAAAGAAAGTAATGTGCTTGATTATTAAAATAGAAAACTAATTTATCAAGACGAAACTTTTATGAAATGTTTCATTAACGAGAAGTAAGTTTTGTAAAAAAACTCACTGAATATGATTTTGTATAAGATTGGTTTTATAACATTCACTAAACTATTACTAATTAAAAAGCGCAAAAGCATGAAAATTCAATATATTACAAATATCAAGGTTTAAATTTTAGAATAAATGAAAAAATAAAATAATTTCTCAAACAATATTTTCCAAAAAGTCATCGCGATCTACAGATTGGAAAACTTTCATTTCTAGAATTTGTTTCTGTATTTAAATGCAATTTCAGAAAAATGCAAGGAATACTATTAAAAAATTAATTTATTTTCAGTACTTTTTATTGAGTAGAATTCATTTCTGTAACAATGTAATCATGTCGAAATTTCAACCATTTTCTGACAAGTTGGAGTGCTTAAATTCCAGCTAAGGTTCAATGAACGATGACAATGGAAGTTTCACTTGCTTCATGACCTTTACGAGCAGAGTATATTTAAATTTATTTTATTTTGTAGATATCATTAAGCAGATGACTCATTTGTGGGTTTACGACTATCAATATTCAACTAAAATGAAATCAAAATTAGGAAATTTTAGATCTTTTGTAATGAGATATTTAAGTCATCTTGAGATTAGTTCAGTACATTGGCAAAAAAAATTATGAAAAATAGAGATTTCTAATAAAACAATAAAATGAAACAGTATGTGTGTTTTTTCAGCAAAGGTTTTGTTTTATTTTTTAGCTGATTTGGGCAGTTGACTCATGTTTTGGGTTTACAATTATCAATTCCGAAGAAGCATTGTAATTTCTAACCCGATCCAGAAGACAAGGAAACTCCTGAATTGCCTGAACAAGCATTCTATGATGGAACTAACCCACTTACATTAAGAGAAAATCACATCTCACGGTTAGCCTAACTATTAGAGAACCCTTGATCACTACCACTCAAGTTATTATAAGTAAATAATGTGGTCAATGTGAGTCTGGAATAGAATTCGTATCGATCATCTAGCATTTCAACTTGGGATATACCACCATTTGGAGATCGGCAGTCTGAACCACTTCGATTCAAGCAAAATATAATGTTACCAAAGTGAAGTTATCCTCAATTGAAATTCCGATCACTTTAAGACTAGCAAGAGCACTTAAATATTAACTAAAGCTCTATGTTGGAAGACATACAAGGGCGCCGGCAGCGGGGTGCAAGGGGGTGTACTTGCACCCCCCTGGCATTTTTTTAAAAAACAATTAAAGAGATACAAAAAAATTCTGTTATAAAACTTTTTAATTAAACATATTTTTATGGAAAAACAAATAATTAAGTAATTATTGATACATAACAATTAAAAAATTGTTTAATCAAACAAGAATTGTAATCGTCTTGTTTGCTGTCCAAATATGTTTTTAACTTTTTCAATGAATTCTGAGTCATCTTTGATTCTTTTCTTATGCACACTGAGCATTCACAAACTTGGCAGATATCTGAGGTATATTTTTAAATTTCTTTTAATAAAATGTAAATAATATTATATTTTCTATTAGTTATTCAGTTTAACAAAGGTGTATAACACAAGCTGACTTCTCGCAACTGTAAAACTTCATCAACACAATAAATACCAATGTTAAGCGTGCACAAACACGTTAGTATACGAAACTACTGTTTGTAGTTATTTGTGCTTTTAAGTCAGTAGCTATGCCAGCGCGATCGCCTCTGGGCAAAACTTGTAAGTACAAGAAATTCGTACTTTTTTAAAAATATCTTGCTAACAATGAAGAAATGTATCTTGAAAAAAGGAACAGATGAAAGTATATGTAATAATAAAACAAACTGTAATAGCAGAATATTTAAAAAGATTTTCGGGGGGAGGGGAGGGTAGTTTGATAGAGGGTTGCACCCCCTTTTATATTATTTTGCCGGCGCCCTTGAAGACATAATATATTTTCGGATCTCAAAAAACAATACGAATTCCGCATCCTGCTTGCACCGACCACAGTGCTGACGTAAAATATCCTCAGTGGTAGACGAATCATGGATTAGAATAGAGTCTCCTCGCCGTTAGGCTGACCGTGGGAGGTTTCAGTAGTTTTCCTCTCCATGTCACGGAAATGCAGGCTTGTTCCATCAAAAAAAGTCAGCCTAGAAGGTTTAATTTCTTCCAATACTTGATCCAGGAGTTTCCTTGTCGTCTGGATTGGGTTCAAAAGTACAAGTCTACAGAGTTGAGCATTAGTAGTCGTAAGCCCAAAACATTGGGTCAGTTGTTCAACGACGCAGTTATAAAGTAAAATATAAATTTCAACATTTCAGAAAATAGAGTAATCAAATGTTTTCACGATTTTCATTTTCAAAAGTTTGGTGTTTTTTTTCTTTAACAAATTAACAGACAAATAAATGAAAATTAGAAAATCATAAAATGAAATCAAAATTTTGAAAATTACACTTTTAAAGAAAATTAAAAAGGAGAATTAATTCTGCTTATGCCAGAACAAATATAAATAAAATAAAAAGTGGTAGCGCAAGTATTTGATCTTTAGCAATTAATTTTCAGAAATTAGATGGTTCTTATTCCAATAATAAAAAATTGCTTTTATATTTAATCACAGCTACGAGACTGATTAATTTCTTAAGATTGAATGAAAATTAAAGAAAAAAAAAGGAAGAAGTTGTGATTGCCTTGTAACTATCACTGGTTAGCCGATGGTCAAATACTTTTTCTTTCTGGATTGACTCCGTTAAACGCCACAACATGATTTGAAAATCACGGGTTGCAAAAACTGTCTCAATTGATGTTTGTCGTCTGATTAATTTTCATATCCTGCCTATGTACGTGTTTCGAGACGTCACAAAATACTCTTCCTTCTTCTTCAGCATTCATATTTATATTGAAATCACAATCCAGCCAGTAATTATACATTAATAATAAAGGAATATAAAAATACTTTAATTTATTATGATGTAAATACATTAAAAATGAATGCTAGTGAAAATAAAAATAAAAACAGCAGCTGTCGCCACAGCAACGCATGTAATATCGATGCATGCGCACTGCTTACTATTACTCTTGAATACAGTTGAAAAGTGTGATGACGTCCAAATAAGTTGCGCACGCCATCAGACCTATAATAAGACCCATTTTGCCAATGGGTAAAAACGCAATACTTGAGCTATAAACTTTTCCCCCTTCACGTCCTTACGTAAACATTACTTTTTTTAAAGTTCACTTACTAAATGTTGCTTTTTAAAATTGCTATTTTATTATTTATGAACTAAACTTCATTATTTAAGGTAATTGAGAATGACGTCAACCCTTACGCAGATCAGTGGGAGAATGAAAGGTGTTTTCCTATTAAAGACGTCTATCGAAAATTTGCAAATGCTGGACTCCTTGGAATAATGACCAAAATAGGCATGTTATTAATTTCACTCCTTCATTTTTATTTACCTGATAATTAGGCCTAATCAGAGATGGAGGTAGGTACTTTATTTACGTCGCTAATCAATTGGCTATTGGTGATAGTTCCGAAAACATCCCTGAGGGGGATCCGAAGACATGCCATCGCAATTTCAATCCACTTCAGAGGGGATGACTCCCCTGCTTTGGCAACCTGACGACCCACGCACGAAGTCGAGAACTTTACGTTAGAACAGCTTAACGAGGACTGATACCGCATACCCTCGGTCCCTATGCAGACTAATCTAAGTGGTCATCCACCCGCTTACTGAACGCAGTCAGTGATGCTTGGCCTCGGTGATATGCTGGGAACCGTGTCTTAACAATCAGTCCACTACAGGACAAATATTTTGTGAAGCATAAACATATTTTTCAATTAGATTTAATAACACGTTTTATTTCAATGAAATTTAAATATTTTCTAAATTAAGAAAAACTATTGTTGGCAATAATATATTTTTTGCCATCGAAGAATATCCACATACGTTTGCATAAAAGCTAATTTTAAATTTCAGTTAAGATTTTTCAAATTCTCATTCGAAAATTAAAAAAAAAATGTTCTCATTTAATTAATAATCACACGACATTTTGCCAAAATGAGATTTTGCAGAGGCGTACACTTTAATCCTCCAGCCAGTCATTTATTTTCTTAACTATTTTTATAATGGATTCTTTTTTGATTTATTCAAAATAGGAAAATATTTATTTATCTTAATTTGTTTGTCTCTTAAACAGAAAATGGTGGATTAGGCTTAGACTACTCTTACAAGGTTGCGTATATCGAAACATTAAAGGATATCAACTGTATAAGCATACCTTTTTCCATCCTGGCTTCTGATATTGCAATCGAAGGCTTATCGAAGTAAGTATGACATTTTAAACCAATGTTATTTAAGCAATAATATATATATCTGTGAAATTATATTTATTCGATATTTTAATATCTGCTGTGGATGGATTAGGAGAAATATCAGCGTTCGGAGTACCTGTTAATTGTATACTGGGCAGTGGCACTTGGCCTTAAGAAAACATTGATGTAGGGCTATCGGGCAAATATATAACAGGCAGTGGCACTTAACTGAACCTAATATATACTTCAGACCATTTACCTTATCAGGTGATACTATACAGCTTTATTGCTTTTATGTGACTGAAACCGGTTTGCACTTGGCTGCGTTCGTGTATCAATGGGTTAAATTAGACGATAGATAATATAAATTTGACGATTGAATAAATGAGACGATTGAATAAATGAGACGATATATTATATAAGTATAGAATATTTATTATATCAAGCATTATATTAGTATATTATAATAATTAAATCAAATTATTAGACTCACTGTAGTTTTTTAATAATAACATGATATGCACGACGATTTTATATGCAATAAATTTATATTTAAACATACTTGTAATGAGCTTTTATTTAGAAGAGTTTTTTTTATACTTCCTATTTGTATTTATTACGTATTGCATTACAATGTTAACCAATTGATACACGAATGTATAAGCAAGCGCATAAAAACGATACAGCTGTATAGAGTATCACCTGATAATTATAATTTTACATAGAATCTTATAGCGCGTCTAAAAATATGGCTAGGGATTGTATATTGCGGCAGTTTTACAGGTTGGATCCATAACTTCACGACGCAGCGTAAGCAGTCACGTTTTGAGGACAACTTTAGATTGGTATGGGGACGAAGGCACAATGTCCAGAAATGAACCTTTCTGGATAAGTTAGATCACTGAATGAAGTAGATATTTTTTTAAATTAAAATATTTGAAAAAAATGTCTTCTATGAATGTTTCTTAGCAGATGATGAACGAATAGTGATTTTAATTATTATTGTTTTATACATTGCATTTGTTAGTACGACATTTGAGTCACTGAGCATGAAAAGTCCCCGAATTCAGCGATAAAAAACGCTATTTGGCAGTTCATTGGAAAATGATGTTAACGGGCTGTAATATAGGTTAGCGTCTCCGCACATTGCACATGCAACGCTGAATCAAAACTCGGGTCAGTAGTGTTAATAATTTGGAAGTTATGAGGCTTTTTTATGCATAAAAAGTATTAGTTTTGACAGTAAAAGTACTGAACAAAACAACTAATTACAAAATTACGCAAGGGCTTAAAATTAGTCGTAATTAAAAAAAACAACTTACTAATCAATTTTTTTGAAGCAAAAGAAAACGAAAATTTGACAAAGAATTTTAGATATACTCTCGATTTCTCGAAAACCTTGTTTTTCCCTTTTGGCATTACATATCCACCTAATGTTAAATTGAATTCCTTTGTCGAAGGGTTTCTTCTCAAAACCTTTCTGTGTCGAATTTTCATTGAATTTTTTCGGAAAAATCACAAAACAAGTTCATCGTAAAACAATTGTTTTCTATTTAATGCATAACTGTTCTTGTCTTACTTTTGTATTTAGTTGTATTTTGTATTTATACTGTTGTATTTAGTCTTATAGTCAACTATCATTACATTTAATAGTAGTTATTCTTATGTTTCTTTCTACTTTTAAGTGTAATATTTTAGAATATATTTTTTTTTTTACTTTTTAGAGCATATTTAGTTCTAAACTTGCTATCACGAAAACTCGCTATTTCGAAATTCTTTCAGCGTCCCTGCAATTTAGAGATATCGAAAGGTATTATGCCTTTCTAACTCAATTAATCACTGAAATGTCTTGTGTTCAATCTTAGATTTGGAAATCAGGAGCAGAAAAAGGAATTCTTATCCCCTTCATTAAGAGGAGAGCGCATATCATGCATTGGAATACGTGAAGATTCTGATGTTAATAGTAAGTGTTTTATTCTTATTTACAACAGATTTGAACATTTCTTCTGTCCTTTACTACCTGATTTCGTATAAGAAATGTACGTATGGGCAGGTTTTGTATAAATACGCCAGAATCAAAAAGTACGTGCCGTTTCTGTATTAGAACTAAACTTTATTTTATTTTATAATCGGCGTTGAACAACCGGCAAAATTCTGAGTTAATGACTATTTATGTTTAATGCCTTTTAATTTTGAAGCTAACCCAAAAGACTGGATAAATCATTTCACTTTATAACCGTCGTTGAGGTCGTTGAAACGTTTGATGCATATTTTAAGTTTAAAAATAATGTTAAATTTTAATGCAGAACTCTTTTTTGCTAAAGCGATACAATTAAGAACTCAAACATGAAAATGTAGAAAAAAAAACTACAACTGATAAACTCAATATTTTTTAAATATGAAAATTTATAAAAAATTTCACCTAAACATTGAAGGAAAAAAAGGGTTTAGATAAAAAAAAACATATTCATTATTAAAATCATAAGAACTTTTGACAAGATTCGTGCTATTTTGCTTTTTTATTACAAAAACTTGTTTTTCTCAAAACAAAAATTTTGCATCGAAATGAAAATTGACCAAGTTCCATGCGCTATAATTTCATGGAATAATTTGATGATTACCCCATGAAACTTTTTGACATACTCTCTAGATCAAGGGTCCCCAACCCTATGCCCACGGGCACCATGGAGCCCGTCAATCTGTCTAAGTGTGCTGCTTGTGCCCAATTATAAAATATTTCAGTTTTCTATTTTCCCATAAAATACTATGCAATTTTTTTTGCTTTTACAATATTGATGATAAACACAAGAAAAAGCCCTTCCAGGATGGTGAGTTGTTGAAAGAAGCATTTTTTACTGATGCTGATTGCTTATTTGAAGGATTTTCCAACAAACGTGAGATCATGTCAGCAATACAAGGCTTACAGTTATCGGATAATACTGCTACAAGAAGAATAGGAGCTATTTCAAAAGATATGCAAACGCATTTGAAGAATGATTTGGAAATATGTGATTTGTTCTCACTACAATTTGACGAGTCTACAGACATAGCAGAAGACACAGCACAGTTGGCAGTCATGGTGAGAATGGTATTTATTGATTTGACAGTAAAAGAAGAGCTACTAAAAATATTGCCCATGAAAGGACAGACAACAGGTAAGGATATTTATAAAACATTCATAACAAATGCAAGTTTGATAAACATGCCTCTCCAGTATTTGTCTCCGATAACCTCTGATGGGGCACCAGCAATGGTGGGAAGCGTGAATGGTTTTATTGCTCTCTGTATAAATGATGTGTCATTTCCAGATTTTCTGTCGTATCACTGTATTATCCACCAGGAAATTTCGTTCGGTAAAGTACTACCATTTGGACACGCAATGAAAATTATTACCAAAATAGTCAACTTAATTCGAGCAGCTCCTTTGCAACATCGACTTTTCAAGGCCCTTTTACAAAATCCTTATGATGCTGACCTCATTTTACATACTGAAGTACGCTGGCCCAGTAAGGGCAAAGTACTTGATAGATTAATACATTTAATTGGAGAAATAAAAAATTATCTTGCAGTAAAAAATCAAATATTTTTAAAACTAAGAGATCCTCTTTGGCTAGCAGATTTGTCTTTCGTAACAGACATAACGGAAAAACTAAATAAACTTTGAATTTGGAGTTGCAGGGAAGGGACGGATATCACATTTGAAAATGAAGTCTCTTGTGCGTTTTCCGAACATGAAAAAAATGATAGGCGACAGTGAAATTGACTTATCAACATTTGTAATCAGCCTCCAATTGCTTCAAGATCAATTTGAAAAACACTTTTAACAATTTAATATCATCGAGCCTATGATCACCGTTTCCGTAAATACTTTAACCAACCGAATAAAAGCTACCGAAATAGCAACATACATTTCAGAATTTCTTCAAGTAAGGCGAGACGAAGTGGAGATAGAAAGTTTGGATTTTCAGAATGACATTATCCTCAAAATATTATATCAGATTACAAATTCTTGTATATAGTTGACAGCAATAAAATCCATTCTTAAAAAGAGCAGCATATAAAATAAAGTCGTTTTTTGGTTCCACAAACTTGTGTGAATCATTGTTTTCGACAATGAATATCATAAAATCACTATATAGATAACGACTTACAGATGAACACCTTGACGATTGCTTGTGAGCAGGAATTTCATCATATTCTATCAAATATGAAGCGGTGGCCACTGAAATGCGATGCCAAAGATCCTACTGACTGTATTTATATATATTTTATAAATAATTTTTATACTTCGTGTGTTTTGAAAGCAATTTAGTAATCATTTATTTTACAGAAGAATATTAATACAAATTATATTCGTATGATAAATTAATTTTTAAAATTAAATTTTTTGTGCATTACATGTAGTGTGTATTATTACCTATGTTTACCAACTATAAATTTATCTTAAAAAAATAAATTGTGCTCGCCATTCGACCGATATTCTGGTATTTGCTCTTAGGTATAAAAAGGTTGCTCTTGATCAATAAAAAATACTTGTAGAGCGAAAATTTCAAAATAGGGGTCACAAAATATTTTATAATCATTTCAATGTTCCAAAATGTTCATTGAGGGACGATTTTCATGTTTTTTTTTTTGCCATAACTTACTTTTTCTATGTATGGAAATTAGTAGTAAAATGTGTAAATTTTTTCCCTATAATTTGTAGAGAAATGTAAATAGAGTAGTTGAATTTAACAAATAATCTTTGAATTTAAAGAAACATTTAGCGCAAGGAGCTTATTTAAACTTCAAAATAAATCGACATTTTTTTAAAAAAATTTAAATTTTTCTTGTTATACCATGAATTATGCAACAAATTAATTTTTTTTATGTTCTGTACATGAATATGAACAATTTTTGCAAGTTAGCCTTAATAATAGAAATAAAAAAACAATTAATTAAAAAAAACTTCTTCAAAAATAAATGGACTTTGTAAGTTTGTTTCGATAAAATGCTTATTGAATAAAACTTTTTTTTTCGTTACAGATGCTTCATTAAATCCTTATATTTGTTGTCCATTTATTTATTTCATAGAGATGTAACTTTGAAAAATATTGTTTTGTTGGTTCCTACAAAATGTCCATTAAGAACTTATTTTTTAGCTTAAACAAACACACAGAAAATCTCAGTTTATTATGTTTATTTGTTTAAAATGCACATGTTGAATTGCTTTTTTGAAATTCTTTTAAAAGGAAATTTGTCATAAAATTTTTACCTTTGTCGAAAAATTTATTTATTCGGAAAAAAATTGTATGAATGTAAATTTTTGTCACGTGACATCATGAAAATAAATTTTCGTTTTACTATTTTTTTCTGTATTAAAAAATCGTTAGAGCAGTTGGATGTTCAACTTAATGTTACACTGTTTCGCCTCGCAAAAACTATAAGAATTAGGAACTAAAGAGAGCAGAAAAATATTTTGAATGTTTGAAGGAAAACTTTTCATTAAAACTAACTGCAGGTCATAAGAATGCAACTACAGAGTAAAAATTTTACGTGCTGAAAGAGTCATTTTTGTTAAAGAACACAACACGAGTTTTTTTGTTGAAATTCTAATTTGTGCGAAAGTTATTGCATTTTTAAATGTTTTTTTTTTTTTGCTCTTTGTTGCATTTTGTCTTGTAGCGTGAAAAATATAAGACTTATAAATTGAAATTATGAAGGTATGTAGAAAAATGTACAAGGAGTACAATGCATTAAAATTTTTTGGATTCGATTATTAGCTCGAGAATCATCAACTGCTTAGTTTGTAGTGAAAAATAGCTATGTGGGCTGATCTACAGCTCGCTGAAATGTAAATGCAGAGTTGAAATTTTACGTGTTGAAAAGGCCATTTTTATATAAACTTATTTAAAAAGAATTTCAAAAGTCCAATTTTGTTTAAAAGTCATTACAATTTGAAATATTTTTTCGTGACTATTTTTTCATTTTTTTGTTATTTTGAATAAGTAATATTTATCCATTGCTGTAGAAGCTTTTTTATCTCCTTCGAGATCTTCATTTCATAAGCTCGTGCTTCACTTGATTTCTCAATTAACAAAATTAATGAATAAATAAAATTTGGAGAAAGTGATTGGATGTAGAGATATGCAAATCTTAACATTTATAATGAAAGTTTTAAAAATATTAAAGACTCGAGAAAGATGAAAATCATTTCCGGTTTTAACTGTTACACAATATATGGTAATTGTTCAATGTGATTTTTTTTAATCTTAGAAAGGAAAAAAAATTCAAACAGACATAAATATATGTCCACAGATTTTTCTGAACGAAAAGCGAGTAAGCTGTGATCTCAATCTTTTTATCCCATTGAAAACTATCTTAATTAACACTAGATTGCCTAAGAAAGTCATTTTGACTGCTTTTAATTTCAATTAGAAAAACAATGATGTATACATTGACACAATTTCTTAGAATTTTGTGACTTTTTGAACAACATATAATTTTTTTTACTGTTAAAATTTACTATTAACTTGTTACATAACTGTAAATAATACAAAAAATTTTAAAAATTAATTTTAAACAAATTTATTGACGCATTCACAATCTAGTCATTTTGACTGCTTTTCGGCAATATTACTAATTTCCCGTCTTCCTAGTGTTAAATATTAAGCATAATAAATTATATTTTCGTGCTTAATTCTTATCGATGAATATCAGCTTGTCTGTGTCTTCAAGTCTGCCTGCTAGCATCGTTTACAAGATAATCACATTCATGATGTTGGTCTGAAAATCGTGGAGCCTGACTTACTTCCTAACTAACAGAAAGGTTTGAGGGAATTTGATAACTTTATTGTTTTAAACCCATTATTAAACCTGTGTGTCAAGTCTATGATTGTAATGACTGTGAAAAAAATGTGCGGAAAAACGAGTAAGCTGCGTCCTCAATCTTTTTTTGCCATTGGAGGCTGCCTTATTTAAATACTTGGTACAATAAATCTTGTGCTCAAATCTAATTCTGTTCGATGAGTACCAGCTTGGTTTGTACTAATAAGCAGTCGGTGAGCAATGTTAACGATATTACCACAGTCATTCCGTTGGTGTAAAATTTGCGAGTCTCATCTTTTACGACCTTCTTAGTTGACAGCAGGTGTTTTCGAAAATTGGATAATTAGGTACTTGTAACTTGACAAGTAGTGGAGTGATTATGCCTAAGTACATGATTTAAATCAGATTTAATAGGATGCTTGCAAGGACGTCACGTGTGGGTGTGGAGCTTGATTGAATTTTGAATCTGCAAATGTCACGATTTACCACTTGCAGCTATCCATTTCCTTGATTTTAAAGCTGGGAAGTTGAGCTTATTAAAGAAAACACTGAACATGTCTTTTACATATTATGCAACAATAATGGTGATCTTTTTTCCCCCTCTCCAGACACAGCGATGAGAACAGGAGATGACCTGATCCTGAATGGTCGTATAATGTGGGTAACTAATGGTGCACAAGCAGACTGGATGCTCGTGCTTGCAAATACAAGTAAAGGAGACCCGCAACTGAGCAAATCACTCATTTGTGTGCCTCTTGATATAAAAGGTAAGTTTTAAATGAATTTCAACGAATCGCATTTTTATTAAAGTATTCTGAAATTCATAGCCCATCATATTAGATTGTAAATGAAAGTGTGATGAAACATGATACAAATTAAACTGCAGTCGGACTTCTATTTAACGAACTACCATTTTGCGAATTTCTCTATTTTGCGATTTTTTTTTCGAGGATCCAAGAACATTTCGGAAAGTTCTTCCTTAAATAACTTCGAAATAGCGAAGTGAATTTTCTATTTAACAAGCTTTTCTTTGAAATCCGCTTTCCCTATATCCCAAAATAATTCAGAACATTTCAAACTTGTTAACGCATTTTAGGGCGAATTTAATTTTCGAAGCCACTTAACTTTTAGAGAAAGCAGTGAAATCCCTATTCCTTTTTGTTTGCATTTCAAACAGCAAAATCAGACAAAATTAACGGATTTTATCAGTAGAAGTTAAACTTAAGATGCAGCTGAACTTTTATACACAAATTTAGCCTTTTTTTAGTTGAAACTGTATGCAGCATGACAGTGTAACACTGAGTAACGTTTTACTCCATTCTTGCTTTCCATGCAGATTTCTTTTATGGTTAAGATTTATAAAATAAATAGTAGATACTAGATGACAAAATAAAGGTGTATCAATTACTATTTTAATTATATCCAGGGTTTATGACTTTAAAACCTGTTTTGTGTTTAAATATTTCAAAAGATGATTTTCTATTTAACGAATTTTTTATACAACGAACTTATTATCGGGAATTATCACCTTTGTAGAATAGAGGTCCGACTGTATTCTCTGAAATTCGTAACCTCGAATTTGATCTAAAACATGACTTCAAATTGAAATAACATACTATGTAATTCATAACTTCGATTTTGATCTAAAATGTGATCAAATAAGTATTTTTTTAAAATTGTATATTTCTGAAAATCATGCATTTTTGGCACATAATCGTAAAACGATGTAACTTTGTGTCTCACTCGTTTCTTAATTTTATTTAAATGGCATCTAATATATAAACTCTGATTAATAATAACAGTGTAACTATTAATAATGTAATTATTATTAATAATGTAATTATTAATAATGTAATAATTAACAATAGAATCAATAATCATAATATGATTCTTCTGAGTTGTAATAAATGTTTTAACCATTTTTAATTTCATTTCTTTTTACCTTCCTCCCATACATTTTTTAGGAAAATGAGACAAAATTTTTTTAAATATTAAAAAAAAGTAATTTAAAAATTTGAATTAAAATATTTTTGCTGAAATTTTAAACATTTTGTTAGTATATTCTATTACAAAAAGTTTTATTATGTGCTAGAATAAGGTTTTACTTGATTTTAATGAGCCATGGAGTAAAATCCTTCCAAAATTGTGACTCTTCCAAAGTCACAATTGTGACCTCTTCCAAAATTGTGACTTTGCCTTACAGGAAACTTTTTTTAAATTTTCCTTTCACCATTTGGAATTTTTATTTCACCATTTTTCATTTATCACTCTGAAAACGAGTAACGATTTTTTAAAACATTTAAGACTTTACGTTACAATCTAAGAAAGATCGAAAAAAAAAAACAACAATTTTATAGAATCAAAGAATCACTTAAGCAAATGTGTTTTTTCTAAGAAATAAAATTTTGATGGATTCTGCCTATTTTCTGTTTTTATTTTGAGTTTTTTTTCTAAAAAACTAACACCGCAATGTTTTTTTCTGTTACCAACCTTTAATGTCCCATTTTGAAGCATGTTTTTTATTTATTTATTATAAACATGGGAAAATTATTCCAACTTGTAATTCAAAATTTTTTTAATTGAAAATGCTGCAGAAATTCTGAAAAAAAAAATAGAATTATCTTTGTTTTAAACAAAACAAATAAAGTAAACAAGAATGGATTCTGCCTATTTCCTGTTTTTAATTTGGAGGATGTTTTTTTAAGAAACTAACACAGCAAAGTTTTTTTAACTTGTTAACAGCCTTCAATACCGCATTTTATGGCATATTTTTCTGTTTATGTATTAAAACCACAGGAAAATTATTCCGTCTTGTATATGAAAATTTCTTTATTTGCTAAGAAAATGGCACAGAAATTTTAAAGAAAAAAAACACAATTATTTTTGATTTAAACAAAGCAAAAAGCATAAAAGCAAAGCAAAAACATAAAGTAGGCAAAAATGTAATCTTTAAATTTATGAAATAAAGATACATAGATATTAACGAATAAAGAAAATTCAGTGGTGAAAGAAATCGATTTTGAAAGTTCGAGTGTATATTATAAGGTATTTCCATGATTAATAAATTTAAAGATTGGAAAAGAATTTAAACGGGACAAAATTGCAATCAATTGAAGATTGTTCAGTAACTAATGTTCGTTTTTATTTTATAGGCATTTCTTGTAGTAAACTCCAATTAATGGGTACTCCGGTTTGTAGTACAAGTCAATTTTTGTTTCATAATGTCAAAGTTCCTACAAAGAATATAATTGGAGAAGAAGGTATGGGCTACAAATACCTAAAGGGAATGCTTCAAGATGAAAGACTATCTATTTCTGTCTACGGCATGTATAATTTTTAATTTATGGATTCTCTCTGTCTCTCTCTCTCTCTCTCTCTCTCTCTCTCTATATACATATATATATATATATATATAATTTTCAGAAAATTGGTGATGAGTGGATTATCCACCTAGAGCAACTGAAGAAAATAATACCATTCTTAAAGTCTTCTAGCTTCGTACAGAAAATACAACAAGTTAAAAACGTATGCCACTTTCTTTTATAAAATATTTCTTTTATTAACTGCAATCAAATGTTGAATAAATAACAATTTTATGAAAGAAAAATTAACCTTTTCTTCCCTCGACAGGAAAATAAAATGAAATTAGCTGATTTGATTGAGAAAGACTATGGCATAAAGTTAAATACTGAATCTATCTTTGACGTACACGTCAAGCGAATACACGAATATAAAAGGCAACTTCTGAATTTGCTGCACGTTATCACCATGTACAACAGAATTAAAGAGAAACCTAATGCTCCATTCGTTCCCCGTACTGTCATGATTGGGGGAAAGGTAATCTTAAATTTCTTTTCTTATTTGTTATTCAGATTAAAAATTCCATCGGTTATTGACATTTTGTGAAATCATTGCATATCTACCTTTAAATCATATTTGTAAAAAAAAACAGGCTGCAGGATTTTCAGTAACATTCACCCATATGTTTAATTTTAGGCCGCTCCAGGATATCACATGGCAAAGCAGATCATCAAGCTCATATGCAATGTTGGAAGAGTAATAAATAATGACCCAATAGTTGGTGACAAACTTAAACTTGTGTATCTAGAGAACTACAGAGTAACTTTGGCTGAAAAAGTGATTCCAGCTTCAGATTTGAGTGAACAAATTTCTTTAGCCGGCACTGAAGCATCCGGAACAGGCAATATGAAATTCATGGTGAAAACATTTTTGCAATTTGCGTGAATACAGGCTGTTNCACCAAGAATCTTTACGAGAAAACGAACAACGTCTAAAAAGTAAATCTATGTACGGATTCTATTATTTAAAACAGCAAATTTTTAATGTTTTTGTTCCAATCAACAGTAATAAAAAAAAAATAATTCAAAACGTCTTTCTTAATTTTTTGAAAAATGATGATGAAAATAATTATTCTTTTCAAAACTTTGTCATTGAGCATTTTCAAAAAAACTGTTTTGATCTCTCAGCTATATAAATTGCACCATGTTTTAATAATTGCACCAAGAATCTTTACGAGAAAACGAAGTTTCTTTTCGCCTGGAGGACAATGTAACGGTCATCTCTTGGTGTTGTTTTCCTTGGACGACTACCACCAACCTTCCGAACAGCTGTACCAGTAGTTTTAAAAGGCATTCCAAGCACGAAAACAACACTTTTGTTGATCCCGAACTCTTCGGCGACACTGGTCACACTACGCCCCTCCTCAAGCTTCCCAATCATTCTTCCTCGAGTAAAGCCGCCTAAATGATTTCTTGAAGACATGTTTCACAAAACAAATCACCTGCACTTGCAGCGAATGTCTTTAACTACGGTGCTCTTCATCCTTTTATCACAGCTTTGACCTGCGCGCGCTGGTCCACAAGGTTTAAGTACACTTACATCACCTACGACGTTTTATTTCTAAAATTTGCATACAAATAATCTTTCTACTGAATTGCGTGCATATTATATTGCAATTTCATGGCTATCTCATACTTTGTTGGGGAGCTGTGGCCGAGAAACCACTTGTTGCTTAAGTTTTGCACACCAGTGAATAATACTAAAAGAACTTTTTTTAAGAAAAATTAATAAATTGCATTGCTGTTAGCATTTTAAAATGACTTTGCACTAGCATTGACTGTTTTGTATAGTTAAAAAATTTAATTGAACTTCGAAATGTCATTTTCCTGGCATGTCCCAAACAATGTTTTCAATAATAACTAGCTTCAAAACTTCCCATAAATTTTTCAATATCTAATTTTTTTTAATCTCAACCAGTGTAAGCATTTCTAGAATATACGCAGAGTGTATTATTTACAAAAACTTCGTTTAAAATAATTTCTTCGGACAATAATTTGTTTGTCCCAAGAAAATCTGTCATTTTCCTGGCTACTTTTATTTAGTGGTTTATAACTAAAATAGATAGAGCCATCAATCAATATCTTATGTTAATAGATTGATTAGATACCCTCGTATATGAACATGTATAGTTGCATGAATAAAGAACCAATTTTCTAGTTCAAAATCTATTTCAAAAACTTTTTCAAGATGAGTAGGTTTTTGTGTTGTCATTTTCCTGGCTTCTTGAAATCATTAATAACATAAATTATATAGATTTATCTGAGATATTTTAAGAAATCTTGTTATTTTCTGGGGAATGTAAATTCCGCAGAAAACAACAGGACGAACTGTCATGTTTCCAAAGAATGACCCATAAAACGCGAAAATGGGTGATTCTTTGGAAACATGACAATTTGGACCGAGAAATTTCTTCAAATTTAAAGTCTTCAAAATAATGTAAATTTTTTTTGTATATTTATTTAGTTACATTTATTAATATATTACAGACAGCAGTGTAGTTTATTGACATTCGCCCTAGAAAAGAATTAAAATAGAAATTCACCAAATCTTGAATGCCAGGAAAATTACATATTAGCTTAGAAGTTTAAAAAACAGTCATTTAAAGTTAATAGTAAGTAACTCTACTTAAGTCTTTATGCTAGATGGACCATAAATTGCTTAAATTAATTATTTTTATCCGCTATAGAAAGAATCAAAAATGTTTTTGTTGATGATATGTACAGAATAAAATTGTGTATAATAATCAATCATAAAATGAAAAAATAACTTTGTTTACATTCAAGCATATTACAATTATACATAAACTTGGAATTAAGTTAATATTTGCTTTCCCTCTTTACAGTATACTGTTTAAAAAAATTTCCGGTAACACTTCAATGTCCTGGCATTCAAAAGCCAGGAAAATGACAGCCAGGATAATGACAAATTTGAAAAAGCTTCTATTAATCTTTTTATGTTAGTTTCTTTGCTATAAACAACTCCTAATTTATTACTAATTAATTATTCAAGTCGAAATGCTTTCTCACACTTTTAAAAGCCACATCAAGTTCTTAAATCTATTCTTGGATAAAGTATGCATAATTAAATGTAAACACATTTTCCCCCTATAATCTTCGTGGGAATCACTCGACCTTTTTCCTAAACTAATAGTAATTCTTAAGATTTCCCTTTTTCCCTAAAATATAACAAACTTGAGGGAAATTCTTTTGCTACTTTCCCTAGGATAAAAACTTAGGCACACAGATTTGGAGTGCGAATTTGAGCTCCGTCTTTGCTAAAAAATGCCTTGAATATACTAAGTAAAATATTTTTTTGCCTTCCAACTGCTATCTGCGTGGCCTAACAACACTCACCAGGACTGCTACCCTTTCATATATATATATATCGAAATCATCGTAAATATAATAGTAGAAAAGAAAAAGCTACTTTTAATTACTGATTTATTTTAGTATTTATCTTGAATGTATTCATGAATATAAAGTTTTTTTTATTTATTTCGAATCCTCTGTTGCTCAACTTGAAAGTATAATGAAAGAAAAAGTGTCTAGTGAATGAATGCAGAAACGTGTATGAATTGTTATTACACAGACGTCAAGTTGTTTAAAAAGAGGGGGTATGTGGAATGTTTTTTTTCTTCTTATTTCCCCCATTTTTTTTTAATGTTGAATCCAATATAACAACTTAGATTTCCCGCGCTCTTCGAGTTATGTAAAAGCGCTGGAAACCTTGGCCCTCCTATTATCCCTAACTGAGGTGGTCTATGAGTTTTCAAACGAAGTTATTAAAAAAATGAAAAACAGTGGGAGGTTAAAATTGTTTAACGCTCGTCACCTACTTTGTTTTTATTATTAGCGGTTCCCTTTCATATTTCACTCCCCCAGTTATAAAAAGAGTTCCTCGAAAGACCTCGATGTCTTCTTTTCGAGCCCTCGAGGAAAGGTTAAATGTTGGATGCTTTTTTTAATTCTGCCATAACTTGAAAAA